AGGTGTTATATACACATATAATATATCTATATATATATATATATCTATATATCATTATATATTACTACATATATACATATATATAAACCAACAACCACAGAGAATATATATATATACATACATATCCTTATATTTATCTTTTAAAAATATGTTCGTATGTGCAATTACATGTTTCGCACAGAAAAAATAGTGTATATATATTATATATGTATATAAATAAATATTTGGTATATAATACATTATTTACACTCATATATATGGATATTTTATATCTACATATATATTATATATATATATATATATATATATATGATCTTAATATATATATACATATTCATATAGAAATAATATATTACCTACATAAATACATCTACATATATATGCATATATAATATCAACACGAATTAATGGTATGGATATATAACGCACACACAGAAACACGCATATGTATCATACCACATTATATATATATATATATATATTATATATACTATTAATATATATATTATATATAGTATATATATGTATTTTGTGTGTGTATATATATACATATATTAATAAATGTACTTATATATATATATATATATATAGATAGATAGATAGATAGATAGATATATGTATAAATATATAAGTACATATATATATATATATATATATTTATAAATATGTTCGTATATATATATATATATATATATTTATAAATATACAACACACACACACACACACGCACGTATGCTTGTCAATGTAAAATCAACCTGTTTCGGCACAGGTGTCAGTTCTAAGTCTTTGTTCTGCTTGTTGTTCTACAGTTTAACGCTTATGAGTCAACGTTTGTCCTTGAATACTAAGAAAAAAAGCGGCCTTCTTAAAATGAAGATATGAACACTTTTTTCCTTTTTTGCATGTGACTCACTAGGTGAAGGTCAGGCGTTTGGGGCATATATAGAGTTTGAGGAGACGAGCAGATCAGATCATCTGTTGCTTCGTTGCAACAACACAGCCAAGTAAGTTGCAAGTGTCTCACAGAAACACATTATGACTTTGCAGAAAATAAGGCTAAAAAGAGTGAACATTCTTAACATTTATATTACTATGAACAAAATACAAAAAGGTCAAAACACGAGATCTGTAGTTCCTTATCACCTCCATGGATAATATGCCTAATATACAGTTTTGGGCTTTTTAACAATTCATTATGTTTCGCTACAAAGTGAAAACAATTTATTTTGAACTACATATATCTATTGATATTATTAATAGCATTGTTATTGCACTTGTTAGTAATTATGTACTATCAATATTAACATTTACATTATCGTTGTTATTGTTGGGGTGTAAGTAAATATCACGAACACAAATTCATAATTTTTCTTTTAGTTTTTGTTACTGTTGTATAATTACTGATTATTATTGTCATTATTATTAGTAGTAGTGGTAGTAGCATCATTATAATTACCATTGCAATTCATTTTATCTTCATTATGATGAGAATAACTATGACTATTGATATCATATCTATTATTGTTATTATTCTCACTGTTACCGGATTATGAGCATTGCCATTACTCCGCATAAAGTCTTTCTTCAATGATATTTCCGTCTTCCTTATAGGAAGATGCATATGACTTCCGGGTTCTTTGTGGCGGTTGCCTTGGTCACTCTGACCCCCATCGCAGAGGCAAAACCAGGTCTGTGCTTTTGTTCTGATACGATGAATAGTCATTGTATCACCTTTCCTTGTTTATAATAATGATAGGTTCAGTGTGAATTTCTATGATAAAGAAACGTTGAAAGGAAAGTTTGACAGTATCAGACAGGAGGCTGTATGATTTAAAGGATAAAATTAGATAACGCAATATTAATTGCTTTGAATATTTTCTCTTTCGTTTGAAAAGGTAAAGACAAGCCTGTCAACGACCTGGAGTTGGAAGAAATAAGGTAAATATTCATTGTAAAAATTCTTTATTGGCGCTTGCCCATGGACTTTGACCTTGTTAAAATTTTCTATTTTCTAAACGTCGGTCATTCTGAGTGATCTCTGGAAGAATGCTATAGTATTACCGAGGTGATGTGTCTTATTACAATTATTAAACTAATCCAAACTATGATGACTTTGATGAATTTTTATCTTGAACAATGTCTTTGTCACAATCATCACTTTTTTCATGTATGTTTATAATGAATTGCTCATATATCAGCTATTTAAATTACTTTTAGTATCATTACCATGTCTTGACAGAGATTATCATTGATATCCTCATTGATTTAATTTACGATATAACCGTAGGCTGAGCGCAGACAATCAGCTTGCGGAAATTGTCCTGGAAAACTACGGAATACCGGTCAACTGGGAGTTGCTTTGCAATACCGAGCAGGAGAATTCCTCCCTCTGCAACGACTTCCTGCACTACCGGTTCCAGCGATGGCACGTGCAACAACCTGCATAAATCGAATTGGGGAGCCGCTTATAAGCCCTACCGACGCCTGGCTGGTTACGAGTATGGTGACGGTGGGTAGACCTGTCTTCGCTTGCACATAACACGTGAAGTGAGCTTGGCGCTCATTGCTAGTGTATGTACAATTTACAGGATATATTTGTTGCATTTTCAAATGAACACACACATGTGCGCGTACAACCACACGTACGCTTACACACACGTTTATATGTATATATATATAGGCTATATAATTAAGAGAAGGAGAGAGAGAAAACTCCCTTCCGAACCCTCTCTCCTCCCGCAGGCATTTCGATCCCGCGTAAAGCCAGCGACGCCAGCGAGCTGCCCAACGCCCACCTCGTCAGCCGCACTGTCGACAGACTGCCCAGCTCTCCGTCCTCCTCCTCATATCTGCACAAGCTGTTCGGCCTCTTCGTGACCCTCGACCTCGCCGCCACGCCCTCGGTTGCAGGTAAGGGGCTCAAGGCTTCCTCACTGAATAAATTTATGAATACTCTTTAATGTCTTTTGCTGTTTCTGAATACAGACAAGTTTAATCGTATTTTTTATATATCTCATATATTATCGGGAGCAGTAATGATAATAAGAAATATACTTATGAGTGACTTTTGACATAAACAGCAACATCATTTAAAAATTTAGAATTACCATTAACCTGTAATTTCTCTATCATTCACGCCAATAGAATTAATGTCATTAAATGTAATATTCTGAATATCATTAATATCGTTTACTCTATTACTAATGCCAATAACACCAATATTCTCTAATACTATCAACACTAACCTCTATTACCGTTCCGTAGCTGCTGAAGACGAAACATCTCGTGCTGCCAAAAGTCCCGGGATGACGTCACTGCTAATGTCAACTCCAAGTGCGCCAGCGTCAGCATCTCTACCAAGGACACGTTCTTCAGCGAATTCGATCAGCAGTGCATGGAGGTGGTGCGCTCAGCCCCTGCACAGAAATGCGAATCCGGTAGGTCGGCAGGTATGCTCTTGGGCTCTTGCTTCCTCGTGCGTTCATGTTGCTTTTGCTTGTGGTGTAGATGATTGGAAAAATAGGTGTTATTATTTCTATTTATTTATTTTTTGTTATTACTTTTTATTATTATTATTATTTTTTATTATTATTATTATTTTTTTTTTGTCCTATTGGGCGTTGATAGTTTTACCCCTAGTACTTTTGGTAGTTTTGAAGATTATCCTATGTAGCATTTATTTTCTATTTACACATTCCCTGGATAATATAAGCACTAGTATAAAATACAGAGAAAGTATCTACTCCCAAGAAAAAAATATCGATTTTATAAGACATAATGAACACGTTTTAACTGTGCTCCCTGGCGTGCTCGTTCTCAGGCCCGAGGGATCAAATGAACGTGGCAACCGCATACCTTGATGCCTCCACGGTCTACGGCTCCGACCAACACACCATCAATTCACGCCGCACCTTCAACAAAGGCCATCTGCATGTAACGGTTGGCATGGCAGTTCCTACAATCTCATTTCCTTGCTGAAATACATTTTGTTTTTCTCTTTTCTTTATTCTATTGGGCGAATCTTGATAGGTTTCTTTCTGTGAAGTCTTATATTCCTCGCTTCGTTTTTGATGCATATGCCTTTCCTAGTTATTCTTGCTTTCTTTACACAAGGAGAATGTATCAGGTAGTCAATCTATTTATCTATGTATATATATCTGTCTGTCAATTTATTTAGGTAACTACCAATTCTATTCTTTTTTATCTTTGTTTATATTAATTTTTGTGTCCATAATATAAAGTAGTACAAAAATACAGATTGCTGAAGATATAATTATCTGAATATTGTTTAAACGTGAATTTCTGATTGGAAATGCTTGTATCTGAAGATGGCACTGTAGGTAGGTAATATTGTGCTTAATCTTTCCACAAAATTACCATTCGTTATCTGTCTTTCCAGGTTACTGACGAAAGTGTGGATTCCCAGTATTTGATCTCACAGAGTTAGTTTGTATTTGTTGGCTTTTCGATGCGTGGCATTAGGAAATACCAAAGAAATGTATAAAGAAAGTACAAGTAGAGTGAAACTATAAGTGTGTTGTGGATTGCCGCAATGAAGTTAAGACACATTTACTGCAGATAACACTTAGCATGGTACCAACAGATATTGAGGCCCTGGTCAAAGTGATCTATCACATGGTCACTCGCTACCACAACAACATAGCAGATCGCCTCAAGGAAACCAATGTGGACTGGGATGATGAGACGCTTTTCCAGGAAAGCCGCAGGATCGTAGTCGCCCAACTACAGCAAGTCGTTTACAACGAATATCTTCCTAAACTCCTCGGTATGTACTTTGAAGTACCAAGGGAGAGAATTTCAGTTTATTTTCAGGGTAGAGTGTATCATGGATTCCTGTGGGCTTAACCAGGGCTAGGCGATAATGCTTTTGTTTGAATAATCAACTGAAATTTATTTGTAGGACCACAGGCGATGACTGAATACCAGCTGACGCCTCTCACTGGGACACAAAGAAGAGAGGACTACAGTGCTAGCAAGAC